TCATTCTAGGATGAGTCCACCCACCTCGGGGAGGTCAGGACCCGTTCAGATATTCCATCACTGGTGTTGTCCGTGAGCGGGAATCGAACTCGGGTGGCCGGGTTCGCACCGCGACGCGCTAACAACGACGCCACAACTCCCCACGCTAATTCACACTGCCGCCCACACATCTCAAACCCTCCATTCCCAGCTCTCCCAAGGGGGGAATGTCTCTAATTTAAAAGCCACTAATTTAAAGTCCCTTTCAAAGCAGCTCTTGCCAACCCGTTAAAAGAGCTCACATTAAGTGCTAATTTCTGTGCCTCTTGCTCTGAACGCCACTTCGTGATTGATCACGCGCGGGCTTCGTTGAAGGCGCAACCTAAGCGGATGCTTCCAATTGTTAAGTAACGTAATTGTTCTTGGTTCTTTCGGTAAAGTCACGTAGAAGGAAAATAATAAATAAATACAAATAAAACATAATAAAATAATTCTCACGACGTTTCGGCAACAACGCAAGCAGCCGTCTTCAGGTGGAGAACAGGTCTGTTAAATTTTTATTATTTTATTATTTTCCTTCTACGTGACTTTACCGAAAGAACCAAGAAGATGAATCCCTGCAGTCACGAAAGCTTTAAATCGAAATTTAAGTAACGTAATTGTTTCACAAAGGAAGCCGGGTGCGTTCATGGAAGAACCACGGCCGTCCAAAACTCCCAAACGCGTGCCGCGTGGTCCCCATATGCGATCACAGTCGAGGTCCAGTCAAATCGTCACGCTGCTTTCGAGGAGCGGTGGGAGAAGCGCTTATCTCTGTTAGTGGGCGGGGGGGGGGGATTCCACTGTAGCATGGCGGAGAGAGTTTTCCCGTCGGACAACCAACGTTGACAACTTCAAGCGTGCTGCTAATCGCATTGTCCCTCGAGTGATGATGGGCTGAGTGCAAATCCCGGGGTCGGAATTTGAAGCTCGCAACCTTCTGACTGGAGGCACCAGAATAAAGTGGGACACACGTCACGTGGTGTCTCAGCGCGTGAACACAAGACACGTGTTGCCCAATCATGCACGAGGCAGCTCAACGTATCTCGTGGTTTTTGTAGGCTTGCAATATGGTTTATTTAAACGCATCATCGAATGGTAAAAAAATAAAACTGGACTTGGCCGCAAAAAACAAAACCTCTAGCTTACGTGTATACCACGACAGCATGTGGTCAACCGATATAACATGAGGCAGGCTAAAGCTGTCCAGACTGCTTGTATATATGCAGTCGCGACTGACGGCATGATGTGCATTCATATATACTGCGGTAACACCACACAGCAATGCAAAATGTGTAACGTATAGCGATCACCAATGCGAGAGAGGGACTGTGCACGTGTGAGTCTATCGCACTTTGCCAGACGCCACACCCAGAGTTGTTGCACTGCCAGGATCGTTAGGGTCCCATCAACATTCCTCAACAACGACGGCCACCTCGTGGACTTTGTGAGATCTAATGCAGTTTGTTGTCGTGTAACGTGTGTCGTCCTATGTGATCGTATTCTCTGGATTATAAGACGCGCGCGCACCACACACACTCCACTATCCTGTACCATAAAGGAAACGTTTTGTGTGCGTCTTATAATAAGCTGTCTGTGTGTGTGTGCCACCAGATTTGTGTAGCTTTATTGACATGGGTGACACGTTTTGGGTGCGTCTTTCTTTCCAGAACGTCTTAAAAATCCGGCGAACACGATCATTGTTATGAAAGTTATTAAGACGATGTCTATTTGCAGGTGTGTGTCTGTGTGTGTGGTTCTTGCTTACTCATCAGTGGCTTTGTTGTTGTTGCTGCTAAACATTTTCAGTGCATTCTTTTTATTTACCTAAAAAAACTAATAATCGCCAGTTAAGATGAGCTCATTAATTACACGAGTCATTCTCGGAGTTGGCCGGATGAGATGGTTTGAGATGAACGCTTTTTTATTATTACACGTGTTTATTTAACTCACTCTGTCTGTTGTTGTTGTCGTATCCTCAAATCTTGCAACTCAATTTTAACCCACTTCCCAATGTGGTATCGACTGCAAACTTGTCATACTGATGACAATACTATATTCTATCAAAAAAAAGAAAAAAAGTATTTTTAAACATTCATTTTCATATGTTATGTTTCGGCTTGGGTCTAATTGTCCACGCTCAATTGACGTTGGCTGTAATTTGCCACGGCCCCCTTACGTTATGGCAAGTTTCGGGGCCACTTCCTGGAGTCGTGGAGTTCTGTCATTACGAGTAGGGTACATTTCATTAAAGCGTGTTTAAAAACAATCTTTTAAAAATTTTACTTTTAATTTTATTTGCATCCGTGGCGCAGCACCTACGGGAAACGGAGCAGAGTCAGTGGCGACACAATATCAGGCAGCGAAAGATGCGCGGGGTGGGATGCAGGGGAAGGAAGTCCGCAAGAGGGGGGCCAAGAGGCCACGGCTCGAGACGAGGGGGCCAGGAAGAACGAGGGAGGGAGCGCCGTGCAAGACGGGGAGGAAGAGGAGAAGGAATCAATCGGTGCCATGATGTCCGGCTTGAGAGGGAGACGATGAGAGGAGGAAAGGAGAGAGACGAACGAGGGAAGCAGGCAGGAGTGAGCTGCATGGGGCAGCGTGTCCAGAGCCGGGGGGTGGCCACACGTGGTTCATGTGATCTACGGGAGGCTTGAGCTGATGTGGATCGACACACAGAAGAGATGTTCAGACGGGACCGGTCATTTTTGTAAACACACGGCCGGCGTGACGAATTGAGCGTTTACCAAGCACACGATCCACTTGTTGACGACGCTACTCCTGTTTAAAGCATTCGCCCGTTTAACCCGCTAGCAGGTGGAAGGGTTGCGGCGATGACGCGGGGATTCGCGCACTGATCCAAGAAGCCAGCCACCTGAGTTTGAGTCTCAAGCAAGGCGAGGCATCGGAATCGGCCGATGGCATCACCACCGCCTCCAATCGCTTCACCGCGCCACGCTGAACATCCAGCAGTGGATTGACAGGTGGAAAAAATCGAAACGAACAATTGGATGTAAAATTGCATTCAAGCAATGGTTATTTTGGGTTAAATTTCGATTTAAAGCTTTCGTGACTGCAGGGATTCATCTTCTTGTTTCTTTCGGTAAAGTCACGTAGAAGGGAAGTAATAAAATAATAAAAATAAAACATAATAAAACAATTCTCACGACGTTTCGGCTACAACGCAAGCAGCCGTCTTCAGGTGAAGAATGAGACACTACCAAACTAGGAGCTTATATATAAGCTGCATTGGGGGTTGAAGAGCGCCTTAACAAAAAGAATGTGCATGTGAAGAGGAATTTAGCATATTCATGGAAAATGCGTAGGCGTTGGGCGGGGGGGTGTCAAAGTCATATTATGCCCATGCATTATGCAGGATCAGCAGCAACCAAGGGGGGTGCAGGGATTAGCAGTAACAAAGGGAAGGAATGTTAATGATATGTAGCTGCAGTTACTCAACAACCACGTAGAAAAACTAAAGTATAAACTACATAAAAAACTAAAGTATAAACTGCATCGCACCATCAGTATACTTACTATACTCTATAATAAGCGGAGTTAACTAACAGCAAGTAATACATTACCATTCTACCTCGTAAAAATTCTATAATATGCTTCCATCTAGACCTTATTCTCTTACATCACACGAGCATATACCGTACTATATACTGCCATAGATAAACCCAACATTAAATTATATACTGTATTGCTGTAAACCAACCTATATCTTATACATTTAATATAACACTATGTATTATTCGACACACATTAGGGTGTGTAGAATAATACATAGTGTTATATTAAATGTATAAGATATAGGTTGGTTTACAGCAATACAGTATATAATTTAATGTTGGGTTTATCTATGGCAGTATATAGTACGGTATATGCTCGTGTGATGTAAGAGAATAAGGTCTAGATGGAAGCATATTATAGAATTTTTACGAGGTAGAATGGTAATGTATTACTTGCTGTTAGTTAACTCCGCTTATTATAGAGTATAGTAAGTATACTGATGGTGCGATGCAGTTTATACTTTAGTTTTTTATGTAGTTTATACTTTAGTTTTTCTACGTGGTTGTTGAGTAACTGCAGCTACATATCATTAACATTCCTTCCCTTTGTTACTGCTAATCCCTGCACCCCCCTTGGTTGCTGCTGATCCTGCATAATGCATGGGCATAATATGACTTTGACACCCCCCCGCCCAACGCCTACGCATTTTCCATGAATATGCTAAATTCCTCTTCACATGCACATTCTTTTTGTTAAGGCGCTCTTCAACCCCCAATGCAGCTTATATATAAGCTCCTATTTTGGTAGTGTCTCATTCTTCACCTGAAGACGGCTGCTTGCGTTGTAGCCGAAACGTCGTGAGAATTGTTTTATTATGTTTTATTTTTATTATTTTATTACTTCCCTTCTATTTTGGGTTACTTGTTAATGCTTAAGCTCTGGTTTTTACGGATGTATTTTTTCGTATCGCATGATGATGTTGAGTACCGATACGAGACCATCACCGGGATCTGCAGCAACGGACCTAACCCTGCGTGAAGAAAGAGCACGGGTCTCTTTATCGGAATGCACACAGTAAACTCCGAAACAAACTTTGAAAAGCGCTTCGTTGGATTAAGTTATTCGTGGACTCATCATCATTGAGCTCTCGGCTAAAACAAGTACCACTTTGCAGAAAGTCAACAGTGAGTGGTCGACCTCTTCATGCTCTTTTGTGAACTGGGGTCCCCTGCCATGAGAATGTGTAATTTCCACCACTTGGCTGCCAAAGAGATACGTAGCCGGCTCCAGCGCACGTGTAAGATTACACACTCTGACTTGGCAGTTAAATTTGTCTGTTTCAGGCCCTGCTCGAATGTTATCAACACGAAGTGTTTGTCTTCACGCAATTGCGCGGCCTCGATTTCAAGGTATTAAACCGGCGTGTGTTGCGCTGCGTGCGTGCGTTCGGGGTGTATGTAACTGCATTAGTAAACATGACATTTTTATTTAAAAAAAAAGTAACATATAGTGCATGCTTTCTGTATGCAGTCAACATATGCATGCTCAACAACATTTGGTCCAGATACCATTACAAGGGAAACTTTTCGGAGCATCCTGTTTGGCGAGGCGCACACACCTAGCGTGCGTGATTCCATGCGACCCGTGTTAGACCCCAACCCCCCAACCTCCAACACATTGTTAGCGTCGGGGTTGTTAAACTCTACTAAGACGATATCAACCTTCGCCATCGTTTCTCGCATCGTACGATAAAATACGACACCACACACGTACACCTGCATGACAATATATAATACACACGGAGTATGACATCGTACAGACAAAACGTTAGCACGAGATGCAAGGATATACCACTGCATGTTCACCGCACGATTTTTTTTTGTATGCACATTAATGCTCGAGTGTTAATTGACGTTCGCTTTGTACATGACATGAGATTGGTATCGGAAGCTGCTCTCTATATGAACACACGGACTTCTACACACACACACCTATACACGGCTATAACACACACACACACGCGAACACACGCACACACACACACACACACCTATACACGGCCACAACACTCACACACACGCGAACACACGCACACACACACACTCACTCCCCTTGCAGTAAGTGTATTAAGCAAGTGTCAGCTAACGAACTGTAAGTGCAAACCCATCTTAGTTTAAACGATTCACTTAAAAAAAACTCCTTCTGTTGTCGAAATCACGTTAACACTGTTATCATTTCAAGCGCACGACCCATATATGTGTTATTCAGCGTGTATGCGTGCGTGTATGTAAACTATGTGGATGCCCGTGTAGGGAAAGCATGATGAGATGACCACATTCCAAAGCTAAGAGCGAGGATGGGAACAGAGCCACGAGGGCCAGACCCAGGCCCCCCCTCCCCTCCTCCCGAATCCCGTGTCTCCTTCGCGTCCTCACTGCTGCACGAGCCGGCGTCGAGCGTACGCGCTGAATCTCTTGTCTGCGGGCCCTTCGCTGTCCTCCGAGCGGATGGAGACCCCGAAGAAGCGGCGCATGAACCCCCCGTAGCGCTTCTGGTTGGCCCACGACGCTTTGTGCGGCCGTCCCACCCTCCGCATGAAGCCCCCGTATCGTTTCTGCACGGTCTTCCCGTCCGCCCGCCCCTCGGCGCGCTCCACTGCCACCTCCCCGTCCTCCCCCTGCCCACCGTCCTCATCACCCTCGTCATCGTCGTCCGCCACCTCCGCCGCTGACTCGTCTCCGTTTCCCTCCCTCTCTTCCTCGTCTTCTTCTTCCTCTTCCTCCTCCTCCTCTTCCGCTTCCTCGGCGCGTTCCCGTTCGGACCGTAGGTCGCCCCCGTCGTCGCGGCCATCGGGACCCCTCTTGGTTCGAAAGCGGCCCCTTCCGAAGCCCCCGTAGCGTTTGTCCGCCGCGCCGGACGGGAGGACGATGCCGTTCAATTGCTGCTGCTGCTGCTGCAAGGCCGTGGAGCCGTCAAGAGTCTGCAGGTAGTTTCGGATTTCATCCAGCACACTCGCCAGGGAAGGAGTGGAGCTGCCCGCCTGCGGCGCCGTCAGAGGGGCCCTAGGAGCCGAGGGGGCCCGTGGGACCAGGGAGCGCACGCGGCGAAAGAAGCCCCCGTACTTCTTGTCGAGCTGCTGCGGCGAAGCGGGGCCCGGGCCGCTCTCGTCTCCTGGCGGGTCCGGATCGGCCACCCCGGGCGCCGACCTCGACTGCACCCACGCGTGTCCCACGTCGTGGCCCAAGTAGAGCTGGCACGCCCGCCAGTACTGCGCCACCGTGAGGCCTGACCTGCACTCCAGCGTGCAGATCTGAATGGTTGGCAGATATGTGTGTTGATTTGTGGATGGTTTGATTGATTGATTGAGTGGTGGATGAGTGGATGGATGCATGGATACGTGGGCCACTAGGTGGGCGGGTGGATAGGTGAGATGGTGGGCGGGTGGATTAATGTAAACACAAACATTGAATGGATGGACGTGTGGATAGGTGGGTTGTTTGGTGGATGGATAAATGGGTGTTTAAATAAATGGGTGGGTGGGTGGATATGTGGTGAGTAGATGAGTGGGTGGATAAACGTTTATGTTGATGAATTGATGGATGTTGGGATGGGTACATGGATGTAGAGGTGAATGGAAGAATTGATATATGAGAGGGTGGATGTAAGTATGTGTATTGGATGGAAGAACAGCCAATTGGGTGCATTAATTGGATTATTGGGCATGTGGATGGATGGAATGTTGTCATGAATGTCCGTATGAATTGTGAAAATTTAGATAAATTGATTGATATATTAATGGATGGATGGGTGGAAAGAGGGATGGGTGAATTCATGCGGGAATATGAAGGTGACAGCATACGCAGGGACGAACACACGTGTCGCTCATTACCAACGAGAGCATGCATCACAACAGTCTCCTGACAAGCAACACAACGCAGTTCCTCTGCGTGCGCTCGGTCACATTGATCTTCCCATAACTTTACGCGAGTCAGTCGGCTGTCGTCCTCTGCAACCGCTGAGGCTGCCGTAGCAATGTGGAGAAATGTCCACCGCTAGCTGACGATTGCTCAGCAACTCGTGTAAACGAGCCGGGGTAGAGTTTGTTCTTGTGTATCACAGAAGGTGGCCCTCCACCTGTATCACTGCGAGGTTGGTCAGTGGCCAGAAGTGCAGCATGTATGTTGCCAAAACCACCTTTACGGTTCAGTGTCATCCACTCATACGTGTTGTACAGATACAGCTGACGGCATTTGGACGACCGCGTACATACATAAGCGTCATCAGTGGCTTACTTTCACAAGGCAAGAACCCATTGAGAGGTCTCGTCTGTTCTAGAAGTGGGGGGGGGGGGGGGGGCTCTGTCAACAAGTGGCAGGAGCACAGCGTGACGCAGGGCTAACGCATACAGCTGACGCAGTTGGACGGAAAATAATGAGAAGGTGAAGCTATTATTTTCGTACATGTTTGCAATTTCGTATTTTTCATACTCTCGCCTAAGTTATTTGCTCAAGGGGTCTTAAAGACAAAATCGCATCAGTGCGGGACACATTATAAATGCAGTTTGTCGTTGAAATAGCAAAACTGCATGAGAAAATGCGTCATCAAAAATTGCAATCAATACTCAGGTGCTTGTAAAGTCACGATTACATTGTAGCAAATAAATTGTCCTTTAGAAAAAACAAATCTTGAATGCGCACACACAACAAAGATCCCCCATATAGCCTTTAACAGACTGTAGGGGCAAGTGCTGTTAGCGAGCACCTATAAAGGCCGGAACACGAGGGGGTGGGTGGCCAACACCACGCCCGGCCGCCTTTGTCTCCCGAGCGGCGATGTTTACACATCGCACCAGGTACTCATTTGAGGCTGAGTCGACCTAGGGGAGGCCCAGGACCGGTTCAGATAATCGTCACTGGTGTTTGCCGTGAGCGGGAATCGAGCGCGGGTTGCCAGGTTCGCAATGCAGCGCACTAACCGCTACACTACCGCTCCTCCCACACACAACAACAACCGCCATTCGCGACTAAGTGGCGGTGACGTCACCACGACGCTTGTGCCAGGCTATGTGCACCTTGAGGCCACGTGAAGTGTCGAACGCCCGCTGGCAGGAGGTCACGGGGCAGACCCAGCAGGTGCCACGGGTCGACTGACTGAGATGACCGAGATGACTGGCTGATGCACCACCTGTGCCCCCTACTGTGCCAACTTGCTGTGTTTTATTCACCCGGCGCTCCGCTCGTTGTTGTGAGTGTCGCTCGTCCGCCCTCCGTTGTTGTTGGAGGGCGACTGCCCCCTACAGCCCCCTACCTCCTCGTGGTGCCGGACGGGCAACGCTGTCGTGGACAGTGCCGTTGGGGGAGGGCCAATTCCGATTGGCCTCTCCCCTCATGGCGTCTGTGACCACCACAGCGGCTAAATGGGGGCTCTGGACGGGTGCGAAGGGCTGGTAACCCCTCCACCTTCAATTAACTACCACTAAACTACGACCGATAAAAAACCACATACACGCACACACACAACAGCATTAAAGCGTTCCCTCCGCTCAAGCGCTAAGCCAGTGGTGGAAATGTCACATTCACATGGCGCTGGATCAGTCAGCCCAAAAGACGACCGATTTTGATTTCCCTGGAAGTAGTACTTGTTTTATCGGCCTCGGATGGAAGTAACGCCCAACCTTCTGATTATATGAGTCAATAGTCATATTCTACTCTTTGGTTATTTCGGTAAAGTCACGTATAGCATGAAAATAAAGTAACTAATAGAATACGACGTTTCGATTGGAATACAAGAAACCGTCATCAGGTATGAATGAATGCAGGCTAGGAGAGAGACACATTTACAAAGAGAGAGAGACAGACACCGAGAGAGACACATACAGAGAGAGAGACACACACACAGATACACACACGCACACAGAGAGACACATGGGGGAGAGACACATGGAGAGACACACACACAGAGACACACACACAGAGAGACACACACACACAGAGACACACACACAGAGACACAGACAGAGACACATGAGGGAGAGACACATGGAGAGACACACACAGAGAGAGAGGGACACACACACAGAGAGACACACACACACAGAGACACACACACACACAGAGACACACACACAGAGACACAGACAGAGACACATGAGGGAGAGACACATGGAGAGACACACACAGAGAGAGAGGGACACACACACAGAGAGACACACACACACACAGAGACACACACACACAGAGAGACACACACACAGAGACACAGAGATAGACACATGGGGGAGAGACACATGGAGAGACACACACACACAGAGAGACACACAGAGAGAGAGAGACACACACACAGAGAGAGACACACACACAGAGACACAGAGAGAGAGAGAGACACATGTAGAGACACACACAGAGAGAGAGAGACACATGGAGAGACACACACACAGAGAAAGAGAGAGACACACGGAGACATCCACTGACAAAGACCGCCGATGTAACATTCTGGACCGGATTGAGAAATTGATATTCGTGAGCAGCTGTTCAGGCCGACATAGCAGGGTCTACCTTTGTTTCCCCCAGTACATTTGTGGCCGAGTCGATCTAGGAGAGACCCGCCACCGAAAAATCCATTAACCACCTCCTACTGATGACGTCTTTGACGGGCAGTCGAACTCAAGTGACAGGAGTGGAGGGGGTCGTGAAAGTGCGCTCAGCGCTGCGCCTACCTGTTCACCCCTTGTCAACGTCCTACCTTACCACAGAACAATTCAGAGCTTATTGGTCACCCCCGTGGCCCTTATACATCTCAACGTTCATCCTGCAAAGTCCCATCACAAGGGTAGAAACACAAACGGACGAAAAACAAATGTGCCCGCGTTGAAACGCCCGTACGCCCCGCATGGACCCGCAAAACTCAATCTGCCTGTACAAAACAACGTGCTAAACGGTGTGGTTAGAGCGGTGTGGCTGCGTCACCGCTCCCCCACTCAGTGTGTGTGCACGCTGGCGTCGTTGGCGTCGCAGCGCGGAGCGCATCAGTGACAGATGCAGTGGCCAGCGGAGCCACGTGGATGACGCTGATAACGCTTGTTGCAATAAAGTGTCTCATTATCATAAGCGCTCAAGGAAGGCTGCTCGCAAAAGTGCAGAGGTTTAAGAGCAGCCCCCACCCCCGGTACAATGATATAGCCGTGAGCAGCGTGCGTGTGTATTTATGTGTGTGTGTGTTGCGATAGTGGTGTGGTTAGCGCGCTGCGCTATGAACCTGGCGACCCGGGTTCGATTCCCGCTCACGGCAAACACCAGTGACGGTTATCTGAACCGGTCCTGGGCCTCCCCCTAGGTCGACTCAGCCTCAAATGAGTACCTGGTGCGCTGTGTAAACATTGCCACTAGGGAAACAAAGGCGGTCGGGCGTGGTGCTGGCCACCCACCCCCTCGTGTGCCGTTGCGGCCTTCATAGGTGCTCGCTAACAGCACTTGCCCCTACAGTCTGTTAAGGCTACACGGGGGATCTTTGTGTGTTGCCGACACACACACAATTGTGTCGCGAAAATTGCACTCAACAGGTCAACTCAAGCCGCGCGTCTTCCGTGCGTATTTTGCCACGGGCGAAATGAATATGGGAATTATCCGGCCCCAACCCCGCCCCCTTACGTACCCGCACTGACCAGCATAGGGAAGTATGGTCAAACAATCAACCAGGACCATCGACACGGCGAGAGGGAAGCATTTAGACAAACGCAGATTTTTTTGTTTGTTTGTTTAAAGTCTGCATGTACACGCACACAGAATACACACGCACTGGGTCTGAATGGGTGTGCTGATTACGCGTTCGCGAATTAGAGAGAACGCAGCAACTTCGCAAGCGTACTATTACAGGTTTTCCATGTTCAGTTGTTTTCTCCTTGTCACAGGTTGAGTCACAAACCGTACTTCTCCATAACAAAGGCTCACCCTCTTAAGCCCCACCTTACCATATGAATAAAAAGTGTGCTGTACTTGCCGCTTCCCCCCACCCCTCTCCAACCATTATATAAACGGAGTGGTAGCTCCTGCAATCTCTCATTTACTTGATACAGCTGTCGTGGCTGTGACGGTTCCACCTGAGGACGGAAGCTTAAGTTGTCTCCGAAACATCGTGACTTTTATTTTATTTTACTTTTATTAATTTTTATGTTTTACCTACGTGACTTTACCGAAAAAACCTAAGAATTCGCAAGCGGACGTTGACGCAGCGTCGTTAACCCGTTGACGCGTCTATTTCTGGAACCCCCCACATTAATTATTCCCGTCCCATTGATTTGTGGCAGGCTATAAAATACCGGACGCTATGAACGGATACCCGTTGCGACGACGATTGTGCATACGTGCAGGCGGCTGGGTGTCGGTAATTGATACAATCAGCGCTAAACTTCTCGCTCGATGTGTTCGCGGAACGTTGCAAGGCTGCCGTGGAGGAGTGTGAAGATCGCCGGGGGAAGGCACGAACTCTCACGAGCGGACGGACACTGCACGACTTTACATTATAACCCAACAGTAGGTATATATTCAAAGTAATATATAGCAGTTCGATAATCCTATGAACAGGTTCACACCACGGTATAAGCAGAGCAAGGCGAGATGGATGTGGCGTCACACAAAAAAATTGCCCCAGAACAGCGTTTGTCCGAAATACTAAAAAAAAAGATTTTTTAGTTGACCAGGTAAGGTCCCACTGAGCTATGTAGTAACTCTTATTTCAGCAGCGACCTGCATGGCTATCACAAATAATAGCTCAACGAAGTGGAAATGGCTTTTTTATATATATATAGCAGTCAAGTATTGTTTAAACGCATGTTTCTAAATGTGCAGGGAAAAAACCTGGAGGAGCCGAATACAAAATTGCACGCGACCACGTGGGCAGAGACACGCAAACTCGAAATAAACAGGCGTCGGGGTCGAACCCACAACCCCCTCCATACCAGGCGAGGTAGTTCACATCTCGCCACCGACACGCCCCGATTGTTTCAGCTGCAATTAAGCACTGGGGTACAATGATGGCAGGAGTCATTATTGCAATGGACATGGAATGATGGACGATGATTAGTATCACGATTTAGCGTGGCGATGAAAGAAAATTACTGTGTAATGCATTGTAATTTGTGAAGGCGAGGCACGATTTGGTATAACAATCATCAACGCCAATGAAGCGTCATGAAGATGAAGCGTGATGTTTGAAGAACAAAAAACGCTGCTGCGACTGCTCATTGTGACGACGACACTCGATACCAGACACCGGAGCCGACGATGATGACGAATTAACATCAAGCGCGCTTCTGAAGATGACGAGGCCGCCGATGATAAATTAGTGTGTTGTCACAAGACGATTATTACCACTGCCGCTGCTGCTGCTGGTGATGACGATGACACATTATGCAACATTAAATGCCCTGCCGATGATGATGATGAGGACACTGATAATGACGATTCATGAGATTTGCATTTCGCATACTACTGCTGCCTGTACTGCTCCAGCTGGTGGTTATGATGTTTTTGGGGAGTGGTGGTGTAGTGGTTAGCGCGTTGCGACCCAAGTTCGATTCCCGCTCATAGCCAACACCCAGTGACGATCATTTGAACCGGTCCTGGGCCTCCCCTAGGTCGACTCAGCCTCGAATGAGTACATGTTGCGGTGTGTAAACATCGCCACTGGGGAGACAAAGGCGGCCGGGCGTGGTGTTGGCAACCCACTCCCTCGTTTGCCGTACCGTCCCTTCATAGGTGCTACTCGCTAACAGCACTTGCCCCAACAGTCTGTTAAGGCTACACGGTGGATCTTTGTCTTTGATGATGATGATGACGGTGACACGATGATTATGAGTGACAGCTCTACGGCGCACGGGGTCTGTCCGTGTGTCGCCTCTGATTCCATCTCCCATTTCGCAAACTAAATCGGGGTTGCCCCTACACGATGGCGTTTTAGGCGGCCAAACCACCACTCATCACAGTTGTTGTTATAGGCTTGCGGAGGTCCATTAGCAAGCATCAGCTGGCAGTGCAGATACTTATATTGTTATGCTGCATCTCTATGCTCCCACGTAATGTGTATGCTCCACGCCTTCACCAATTGGAACTGATCAGCGTGGTGAAGTATGGTCGGACCCCCGTGACCTGGCGAGGCTCTCACCCAGTATACATGTGTGTGAATATACTGTGTGTATATATACAGTACACACACGTGTATTAGTGTACCGTTTATATCCATGAGTGTATACTGCACGTGTATGTTAGTATTTGTGTATTTGTATATATGTGTGCGTGTTAGTGTATATGTGTATGTCTTTGTCTTTGTGTTCCTATAGAGGAGGCTGATGGAGCAGTCATTTGCGCAGTGCGCGTTACAAAACCCGGCTAACCTGAGTTCGACTCCCGGCCATGGCTCACATCAGTGGCGAATATCTGAACCGGTCCAGGGCCTCCCATTGGAATAATAACAATATACCTGAGTTGGGTCGACTTAGCCTTGTATCTGTTGCGCTGCGCAAATCGCAGCACTGGGCAGACAAAGGCGGCCAGGCTTGATGTTGCCCAGACCATCTTACCTACCCCGACAGCCGACAAGTCTAATCGGGATATGTCTTCGTCTTTAATACTGCATACACGTGTTAGTAAGTGCGCGCGCGTTCGGCTGTATACCTTGTACGTGTGTGTTTCTATGCGTTAGTGTGGGTACACGGTGTGTGTTAGCCGGCAGTATATGTGCACTGTATGATGTGCAATCAGCTCGTGTGGCATTCATTGCATCGCAGAATCGCGAAGGGTGGCAACGGATTGAGGAGGCTTTCATTCAGCAGTGGATTGACCACGGCTGCTGCTGCTGCTGCTGATGTAGCGCTTCGTAGTGTGCGGTGCAGAAACATGCATCGTTGTGCTGTACTTCTATGCGTCCGTGTCTCTGCTCCCGGCCTTACACCAATTTGGCACTGACCAGCGCGGGCAAGTATGGTCAAATGTCATCCGAGAGCCGCGTGGCACGGGGAGGCCCTGGAACAGCACCCGAGTCGGGAATCGAACCTAGGCACAAGCGCCACCCTACCGCCCGATAAACGGATATAAACATTTTTATTCTTGGTTCTTTCGGTAAAGTCACGTAGAAGGGAAACAATACAATAATACAAATATGAAACAATAACATTATCAGGACGTTTCGACTGCAACACAAGCAATCGTCGTCATCATCAGGGGTGAAATCCACAGCAAGAAATGTTTGATTTCACACCTGATGATGATTGCTTGTGTTGCAGTCGAAACGTCGTGAGAATTTTATTGTTGTATATTTTTTATTATCTTATTCTTTCCCTTCTACGTGACTTTACCGAAAGAACCAAAAATATGAATCCCTACAGTCACGAAAGCTTTAAATAAAAATTTACATAAACATTGTTGTCCTTTTGAGATAATTCACAAATGTGTAGTTTCCTACATACGGTACGCACATACCGTATTGCAAATACAAAGATCACCCGTATAGCCTTCACGCATTTTTGGGGCAAGTGCTGCGCGAGTGAGCAGCAGTGCACAGAACGGGGGTCGGGGTGGCCTGAACCGAGCCCACACCGCGTGCGTCTCCCTTCGTGGCGGCGACGATGACCCGCGAGACGCCGCAGCGCAGGTGCGGTGCTCAGTCGAGGCTGAGTCGACCTAGGAGACGACTCCCCAAGACTCGTCACTGGGGTTTGGTGGTGGCCGTGAGCGGCAGTCGAACTGGGGGGGTCACCGGGTTCCGTAGCGCGATCCGCACCCCTCCCACACCCCACGATGAGCACTGAGCGTGGATGTCGTCAGATATCGTAATATAAATTCATCCCAGAGGAATCCGATGAGCTATGAAGCTCTTTTTTGTCCACACATGTCCAGTAAGTTCGCAGTAACTAATTGTCACATTGTGTTTGCGCGGGCAAAACCAATTCGGCTGTGTCGGGTGGTGGCGAGTTTAACGACACATTGCATCCTCACTGGTGCTTTCGGTAAAGTCATATAGATAGAAGAAAAATAATAAAATAAACACGACGTTTCGGTGGCAACACAAGCGTCCGTCCGAAGCGTCGTGTTTCTTTCATTATGTTTTCTACCTACGTGACTTTACCGAAAGAACCAGATAGTATATATTCCTGCCAGTCACGAACGCATCAAATCAAGACACGCTGCATATTTACGCGATGATCGAACCCACCCAAAAAAAACTACAAAAAAACTCAAAGAAACAAACATCGATCGCGGCTAATATTGGTCCCGTGGCGGCGTTATCCCGCGCGCGTGTCCCCCCCGTCTCTCACCGTGGCGCGCAGCGCGTCTCCGGGGCGAGTATCGTCTCCGCACTGCGCGCAACGAGCGCGGCAATCGGTGCCGACCCGCGCCGCCGTCGAAGTCGTGGCCACCACCAGCGGCATCAGCAGCAGCTGCAGCAGCAGCAACGACGACGCTGCAGCCATCGCCCCCTGCGGCTGTTTCGCTCGCCCCGCTCCCCCTGCTCCTGCCTCCTTCCCCTCCACCCCTGCGCTCAATCAAGCGGCACGCACGGCGGAGGTGAAACGGCAGTCAACAACAATAACAAACATACATCTGTTGTGTACGGTTGAACTTCTTTCACACCGTACGTGTCCGACCGCGCTAAGCGGATGTGCGGGGGAAGGACAACACACTCAACACAAACATCAGTTCTAAAGAGATGAGTTTTAAATGTAGATTAAAATTTTCACATGCTCCTGTGGCTTCCCGATATCGGAAGGAGGAGCGTTCCCGACGGCCGCAGAAGCGCATCTGAAAGCGTTACGATGCAGTCACCCTCGGATGTAAACACACACTGAACATAACAATCGTACACACGCGATTGCAAACTGATATTACCCAAACATCAAAGTTATCTGCAACTTACCCAAATTAGATTACTCGTCGTAATATAATTTCACTCCCCCCGCCCACCGGCTGTGAAATGCTTGGCAGGACGCTCCATGAAAAAAACGTCTTTAGATTCTGGATGAACGAGTGCAATCGGTTTGCTCGCCCGCAAGCATCCTCCCGTTGTGATCGGTTTTGTCACCATTGTACACGCAAGTGTTGGGTCTGGTTCAGCCTTATAATAGGCACGACTGGGCAGAATTCCAGGCATGTTGAAGCTTAAGGCTACCACCCAGTTGGAGGCAATCCGATTAACAATAAAAAATGCACCTTGAATATATATGATGGTATTGAAGCTCATGGATTAATTCATCATGTAGTACAGTGCGGTATAGGTGTTTTCCAGGACTCTCAAAACCCCATTTCCCGAGTGTTAAGGGAGAGTGGGGACTGCAGAAATATTAATTTTCTTCTGATGATGAAACGTCTTTTTCCCAAGAAAGTTTTAGTTAACAATGCCGCATAGGAATTCGTGCTCCTATTAATTTTGTTCCAAAATGTTTAAATATATTGTTGGTTTTGCTTTCTGCGAAGGGTTTCGCCGTTGTGCGGTGAAGCTCCCCGATGTAATTCTGAGTTGTTCGTCGTGATGTCCGAAGTTTCGCTCCTTGGGCCAAACAAGGGGATTGTTCCGTGTGGGAGGAAACCGGAACACTTGGGGACAAAGACAAAGATCCCCCGTATAGCCTTAACGGACTGTTGGGGCAAGTGCTGTTAGTGAGCACCTATGCAGTCCGGCACGGCACACGATATGGGAGGTGGCCAGCACCACGCCCGGCCACCTTTGTCTCCCTAGTGGCGATGTTTACACATCGTATTCGGTACTCATATGAGGCTGAGTCGACCTAGGGGAGGCACAGGAGCGGTTCAAATAATCGTCACCGGCGTTGGCCGTAAAAGCGTGAATCAAACTCGGGTCGCCGGGTTTGTAGCGCAGCGCGCTAACCACTGCGCCACCGCTCCCCATGGAAGTTCGCACAGACGGGATCACGAGCCCACTTCTTGCACTGCCATCTCCTGGTCAGCTCGCGAGAAACGTAATATTCTCTCTTTTTTTAAAGTTCCACAGATTATGGGTGACCTACCTACCTTGCGAACCAAAGAGCTGGATCACACGGCCGGCTCAGGTCATGATATCAGAACGACATTTCTCTTCGATGCCATCACACTCACAAATAGCTGCCTTTATTCCACATTCGCCGACAAACCTCCCAGGTGTATGTTTTTACAAACGCAGGTCCAGGTGCCGGGTGGCTCAGAGGTCGGGGGCGACTGAGCCGTCACCCGTGATCGATAGCGAGTGCCGGCGTGTTGACGTCAATGTCTGCACAAGAAACGCACTCTCTGCCCATCGTAGATTGGCAGCGTGCAGCGGCGTGGCGGGCAAGCGCGCCCCCATACTGTGTAAAGGATCACAAGCCCCGTCACCTGTGACACGCGGTGCCGCACTGGTGTCTCGTAGTGGATTCTCTGTCTCGCGACACGCAATTTGGGGCAATGCGTTCGGAGAATGGACCAACGACGAAAAAAGACAATCGCAGCAGCGGCAGCAAGACGCTTCTTGAAATTCAAAATCACGTCTTCATCATCATCCAGCGCGTTGTGTGGTCAGAGCGCGTGAGATTACATCAGAATCTGGTCGTCGCAGGGTTTGTAGGCTGTTAGATCGCGGTGGAAATAAATGAAAGGGCTCGGCGTATGGGGACGACATCGCTCGTTATCGGAATGTGGAATTTCCAAACACTGGCTCAGAACCGCCAAAATAGCTTCGCTTTATTGTTCATTTCAAATTATATTTTTGTTCTTTTTCATGATGAGTCGAGGAAAACCTGGAGTACTCAGAGAAACGCCACTACATGGGAACAACTCGCGCTCACAAGATCCGCACGATACGGGCCAGCATAACCTTACGTGTGGACACGGCCGCAGCATAAACTTCGTTTAAATATTTTAACCCCGTGAAGGGTAAAAGAAAAACATCGTTGCGTCGTTCATTTTGCCGGAGGGTAATGGCTCTAAGCCCTTCAAATCAATCAACTCGTGTCGATGTGGACGGCCAAACTCGACAACAGGATACACTGAGCCTTAACTCCAGCCATTACACGTTGAACGGATGGGGTTTTGAAAAGAAAAAAATAGACTGACACCCACGGTTTACCCCACCCCTCAATTTACTGCTGCGCAGAACGGAGAAGTGCTGGGTTGATTAATTTCGAAGCCAATGGGTGAAGGAAATGACCCAAGGTTTAGGGCTAATGTAAAACCCAGGTGCCTACTGATTGACGGCCCAGCGAAGCGCAAAATTAAGGTGGTACATTTGCAATATATTTTACACATGCATCTCCTGTTAATTGTATGTCATATGTGTATTTACACGTCCCATTGTAAACATGTATGTCTTTCAAGTGACAATGATGAGTATTAAATGCAAACTGCATTGCCCCATGTTGTTGTCGGTGCTTTCGCTGTGCATCTGTTGTGCGCGTGACCCATTTTTGCATACGGGATATCGCCGATGACATTCGACAAAGCGTTGGCAATTTATAAAATGCAGCCATGCAAAGTAGATTTACATTACGTGGTTAAGAACGTTCGTATAGGGCTACTCTTTGATGCGTTCAATAAAAGGTCCCACATCTATCTTTAGGGGGGCATTTGCTCCACCATGCGGAATTTACGATTTTCCCCCCATTGCCCCCGCTAATGATACTGAATGAATCCATTACAATAGGGCTTGGGCTCATGCCCTTTGACCGTGTATCTCAATGACCTGTCTCCTCCAATTTGGACTTCTTTGTGTGACCAATCGCATTGCGTGTTCACGAACGATAATTAGTTCACTGACGCACACGCGTGCGCGCTCACACGCGCGCTCAGCTTCAGCGCAGACTCACGCGTATGCAATCATCAATTAATTTCTGGTCCATTATCATATATTCTGTATCGTAATGGTGTAAAAGTGATTTCGTTAAGTTCGTTGTCAATGTTTTAATTTGCGTGATATTTAATCCGAAATAAAATGTCAAGCAGCAGATTTACATTTTGCTCTTTGAGCAAACAGCGCGGTTCCCAAAACCCCCCCTCCACGCGCACCTGCAAAGAGGCACTTTTGAATACAACGCACATCACCCGACACCGTTATGTTTTTGACGCAACGTTATATAATTAGGCAAATCCTATCATCAAAACCGGCGGCGCTTTGACCCAAACACGTTTTCAATTTCGCTCGATTAACGCTGCCGGTGCTTTTGGGGAAAAAATAAAAAAGCGTGTTATGGAAAGACGTACACACCAACACCAACGTCACCAGCAGCAGGATCACCCGCCTCTGCGCCCTGTTCGAGAATGATTATAGAAACACACAACACGCAACACGAGCCTCTCCCTTTCATTTACCGCGTGCTACAACGAAGTGGACGATTTCCAGCGAGACGCGCGAAACCCGCGTGAATTACGCAATTAACAAATTAAGATAAACGCCGCGGGAGTGCATCACGACCGTCACGATCACCATCACAAATTCGTACCTTGCAGACGCACACACGGAGAGACAGCGAGAGAGAGAGAGGCAGTAGGAGAGAGAAGTTGGTTGCAGGGACAACAGCAGGCGCAGAGGTTGGTTGCTCGGCTGCGTGGAATAAGAAGCCTCTTCTTATTTTGCAGTGCGTCCGGCGGCAGTAGCCACCCTCGCTGAAGCCACCGTCGTATTTATAGAGGCAGTCGCGTGCCGCGCCGTGCCGTGTCAGCAGCCTCCAGCTCACCTCGCGTCCGCTCGCCGTCTCACGGGGAGAGAGCGCAGTCTTATTTAAGCTGTTGGTCCACACTCCGGCACACGCGTTACAAAAAAAAAATAAACGACACGGCCAGTCACCGTGTCGTCTTCCACCACCCTCCCCGCCCCCCTGGTGTGTGTTCTGACTCCTCGCCCTCCCCTCCCCTCCTAACGCTCCTCGTTGCCGTGTGCCTCCTTCCCCAGATCCCTGTGTGTGCGCGCTTGTGTGTGGGGAGCGGTAGTGTAGCAGATAGCGCGCTGCGCTACGAACCCGGCAACCCGAGTTCGATTCCCGCTCATGGCCGACAACCGGTGACGATTATCTGAGCCGGTCCTGAGCCTCCCTCCTAGGTCGACTCAGCCTCTAATTATTATCTGGTGCGGTGCTTTAAAAAAAACATCGCCACCCGGGAGACAAAGGCGGCCGGGCGTGGTGCTGGCCACCCACCCCTTGTGTGCCGTGCCGGACTTCATATGTGCTCGCTAACAGCACTTGTCCCAATAGTCCGTTAAGGCTTTACGGGGGGGTCTTTGTCTTTGTTCAGTCATAGGTGCTGCTAAACGCTAACAGCACTTGTCCCAACAGTCTGTTAAGGCTATACGGGGGATCTTTGTCTTTGTGTTCTGATACCTCGCCCTCCCCAAATATGTATCCTCTTTCCCTCCCACCCTACCCTCAATCCCCAACCCCCTGTGCGTGTGTGTGCGTGTTTAACCACCTACCATCCCATAACATTTGGAGAGTATGATTCCAAAATCACTCATGACACACACGCACGCGGGCTTTTGTGTTCTGCGCGCGCATTTGCTTACGACTTGCGCGTCATTAACAATGTGTTTCTTTGTGTGTGTGTGCCAATGTGTCATCTGGATATCTGAACCGGTCCAAAGGCTCCACCTAGGTCGACTCAACCTTAAACGTGTGTACACATCAGCACCTTGGAGACAAAGGCGTGGCTTTTTACAGTACGCGTAATGTGCCGTTCTGGCCTTAATAGGCGCTACCTAACGGCACTCGTCCCAACAGTCTGTATGGGCGATATGGGGGTTCTTTGTCTTTGGTTCTGTAGATGCTCGCTTGTTAGTCATCATTACACACGCCTTTGTCCAGCTTACGGTTCAGCAATCGTGAAACCCATCAAAGGGGTGAAAGGCGTGCGAGAATAATGAGTGTCTTTAACCCGCCATTCAAGTGGCGGGTTAAGGCCGACAGTAAAATCATCTGGTTTCCTTTTTTTTCTTCTTCAAAGGCAGACGGAGGCGCAGTCGCGTGAGCTTGGAGGTGCCCTGAGCGAATGGTTTGACAGACCACGCTTTAGATGGCAGCAACGAATCATTAGCTTCGTCGTGGAGAATACAAACATCAACATAAATAAGCTGACAAAATGCCTCGTTCGCAAATGTCATTCTACATTTAAACAAAAAAGCACTCATCTCATCGGTCGCACGGTCCTCTGTTAATGCATCATTCCCGCAGTATTGGTGCAACACTACCAATCTATTGGTCCGGTTTTGACATGTAATGCCTCATCAGCAGGGCCAGGCTTGCTTTGAACTTTGAACTTTGCTTGAACCAATGCACGTGAACTGCCAGAGGACCGGTAACTTAACAGACATGGCCCCTTTGCCCACGAGCCAACGATTGGAGAGAACGTAAGCTGGTAAGAGACACAACTGTAACTGTGAAGAAACGCAGGTGAACTTGAGCAGTCAACGTGCCCGGAAGGGATAACGACTGACGGTCACCAATCATGACAGAGTGGCAGCCAAGGGATGGAACGCATCCGAGAGAGAGAGAGAGAGACAGAGGGAGAATGCCCACGAAGGAGATGGAGCAATTCAATTGTGTGCAAGGGGCTCGGTGGATTGTGTGCATCCGAGGATCGTGAGGGATGGCGACATTTTGGGGAGTCATTTTGTCCAGCAGTGGATTGAACGTAACTGACGACGGCGATGATGATGATGATGACGGCAAATGTGAACATTTATTTAAAACAAATGACGTTGAAAATGGAGGCCTATTAGCAGCAGTTGCGTTGATGTGAAGACAGAAGCAGCATTTGCTTGTAGATCAGCAATCAACCAGGCCTGCAAGGATGGCACAGTACAGCATTGTCCAAGCGTAGTAAACGTTAATATTAGTAACCAGGAGCAGGCTTCGCACACTTTCTATTGGCTTGAGCGTCACACTCAAAGGGAGACATTGGCTTTAGTGCTGATGACGCGTGTAAGTTTTAGCTTGAGACCTGAAGCAATATGCAGAAGTTGAGGATGAGCCTGCCTGCACTATGAGCATGACCCTGACCTATGATTAGGAGCCTGACTCACGAGTTAAACCAATAAACATTCGACTCTAATTGTGCCAAATTTCAGAAATTTGGGCAAAAATCTGATCTGGAACAAAACTCGACCGTACACTCAACCTGGTGCTCAGAGATTACACTTGATGCAGGCAGGGAGCCTCTTCAGGAGGCCTGGCTATGGGGGGTTGATCGCAACACTCGGAGGAACAATCAAAATGGCAGCCCATTGGTGGCTTCGCAACTACGAACTAAGGCAAAATATAGCCCGTATAGCCTAAACGCCACAATCATTCCCCACTTCTTGTTGATGGGGAGGCGAGCCTGCAGCACCCTTGGACTTATAGCCATCCTACGCACAACTACTACATACACATATATATATACAATTTACGGACTTTTGTAAATCCAATGCTGGATGAAGGCCTTCCCCCATTTTGTGTCGGTCATGCTGGTTGTTTAACCATATTTCACCACATTGGTCAGTGTGGGTTGGTGCAGGTGTCCAGGTATTTCTCGCCACTGATGTTAGCCGTGACTGAGAAATTAACTTTGTTCACCAGGCTTCACAATAAAATGTATTCATCACTGCACCACTGATTCAGCCCCAAGTAGTTTGTATAAATAATTGCATAAAAAAAAAACTTTCCATGCAGCTTGATAAATGGTTTTCCTAGGGCAAAACAGTAGCTTAATTAAACCACAAATGCACCACATCTCAGTGTTGCTTCAACACCCCCTCCCCCCGCCCAAAAAATATATATTAATAACAAAAATATTTATCTTATGGAATGCTGCCCTGGTGTAGTGGTTAGCAGACTGGTCTTGCAACACAGAAGACGCCAGTTCAATTGTGGTAGTTGAAACACTGGGGCACATTTCGTAAATCCCATTGCTGTTGTCCGCCCAGCAGTACAACTGGATACACCAGCCATTACATCTGCAGGTGGCATGCGGTAGGGTAAAGTGTGGGTACTCCCACCTCTTCCATGTTTTGTGGCTAGCATAGCAGAGGTCAAACACCACCTCGAGGGAGTCTTTAGAGCTTCCTCTAGTGGAGGCCCTTTGACAAGCAGTGGCACGAGTCAGCAGTTGTAGGGCCGTGCCCCATACCTGCGCCATTTTCTTCCTAGCAAAGCCTCATTGAGTCTCGACCGCCCTTCAAGAGGGCCATGCTTTGGATATTTGCCACTCATTGAGTTTTTTTGACTACTTAAAATGAGATAGCTTAGAAAAGTTCGTTTTTACGTGAGAGATTAACGCTCAAGATTGGCACAGACATGTGCGGCACCAACCAACTTCATCATGTTGCCAGAAGAAAAGGGGAAAAACCTATTATCGAATTTTGGTACTGGCAAAAGAGGTCCCATGATGTCGATGCTCAACCCCGAGCTCTCATTACTCTGATAGTGCATTGTCTTTGGGCTGTATGCCTTTTGGCGTCCTCTGGTCTAACACAGTTTGAGACGAGGCTCAATAGAAAGCTGTCTCTGGTGTGGACCAATCAGTTTCAAGGACAATGCATATATTATCAGAGTACGTTTTTTGTTTCCATTTTGACCACAGGTATTGTGGTTGATGCAGACATGATTCCTTGTGAAAGGTTTCAGTTTGGTGTTTTAACATCTTAACACCTGTTTTGTTGCCAGAAGAAAAGGGGGAAAACCTATTATCACCAACCAACTTGATGTAGTGCCACATCACAACCAAGCAGATTGGAAGTCCCACAACTCACGAATGCATGTCTGTGCATGATACAGCAAATCCACCTCCAAAGTGTTATTGCATCGTTGTGCCTGTGTGAATTGGTAACACGGTGTGGGAGTGATGGCACACCAAGCTTCGCAGCCATAATCCAATATTTATTTAGAGATAATTTACAGACAACTTTAAACCCTTTAATCAATTAACTGTTGAATGTCTCCCTACGCTGTGTTCATCGTGGGGATTATTTGGCCATACTCCATCACGCTGGTCAGTACAGGTTGGTAAAGAAGTGGACTGACGTATTGGTTCAGATACAACACCCACCACTGATATTAGCTGTGGCGGGGAATCAAACTTTGGTGGCCGGGTTCGTACCGCAGTGCGATAACCACTGCACTACCACTCCACCCCGACTGCATGGTAAACCGCACTAAATGAATCAGCCAACAATGGATTGCATTCATTACACCTTTGCTGCTGTCATTCAGTGTTACCTTATATTAGAATCCTCGGTGAAGTCAACAAATAAGCTCGGGCTGGAACCATCGCCAGTTTGGCCACGTGAAAACAATTCATTGCACAGAGCAATTGGATTAAACGTCGCTCTCAAGTGAACGACTAACCTACTTTCTTTGTGCTCTTATTGTAGCGATATCATTTATTTTCCCCATGAGATTCCATACAAAATGGACCCTATCTCTAAAACGCATTCCCCCGCAAGTTGCAATGTAAAGTACCTTTGCAAACAGAGATATCTCCTCATTCACCGGGACTGACACTGAATAATCTAGGAGCTGGCCCTGCATTCATGAATATAGCCCCGACTACTTACAACTCTCATTCTCTCGTAATGAGCCCTTTTATACGGAACCTATTTGGAAAGCATCTGGCATCAAAGCTGGGTAACAGCAGTCATGATCATGGCCACAGTGGTAAACAAACATACACTCTGGCTTCAGACAGATGCACACACACAAACACAAAATGCAAAGATCCTCTCTCGCGTTTATATAACATGTAAGGGGCAAATGTTATTAGCGAGTGATTACGAAGGCTATCATGGTGCACTATTCCGTTCTCC